GCCACAAAACGAGGTTTCAGACAGGGCGACTCCTTTTCATGTGACTTCTTTAATCTGATGTTGGAGAAGATAATAAGAGCTGCAGAACTGAACCGCTCAGGAACAATTTACTACAAGAGCGTGCAATTGCTGGCTTATGCCGATGACATCGACATCATCGGTAACAAAAACCGCGAAGTCTGTTCTGCCTTTTCCAAGTTGGATAGGGAAGCAAAGCGCATGGGTCTGGTGGTAAACGAGGACAAGACGAAGTATCTCCTGTCATCAAACAAACAGTCAGCACATTCGCGCCTAGGCACCCACGTCACTGTTGACAGTTACATTTTCGAGAAAGTAGAGAATTTCGTTTACTTGGGAACCAGCATTAACACCGATAATAATGTCAGCATTGAAATCCAACGTAGAATCACTCTTGCCAACAAGTGCTACTTTGGACTGAGTAGGCAATTCAGGAGTAAAGTCCTCTTCTCTCGACGTACGAAAACCACGCTCTATAAGTCACTCATCATGCCCGTGCTGGTATATGGCGCAGAAGCATGGACAATGACAACATCCGATGAGGCGGCTCTTGGGGTGTTTGAGAGAAAGATTTTGCGGAAGATTTACGGTCCTTTACTCGTTGGCGACGGCGAGTACCGCAGACGATGGAACGATGAGCTGTATGAGCTTTACAACGATATGGACATAGTGCAGCGAATTAAAATACAGCGGCTCCGCTGGCTTGGTCATGTCGCTCGAATGGACACCGACGCTCCAGCTCTGAAAGTATTCAATTCGGAACCCGCTGCTGGTAGCAGAGGAAGAGGGAGGCCCCCACTGCGATGGAAAGATCAGGTGGAGAAGGACTTGGCTTCACTTGGCGTTTCCAATTGGCGTTAGTTGGCACAGAGGAGAAACGACTGGCGTGCTTTGCTGAACTCGGCCAAAATCGCTTAGGCGGTTACAGCTCCAAAAAAGAAGAAGAAGAAGAAGACATTGATAGATCTAACCTTAACCAATGTAGTTATGGCGGATAATATTAAAGGTTGGTTGGTCTTAGATGACGAATCTCTATCAGATCATCGAGTTTCGGTCGGAATCCTTGAAAGGCGGACGGGAAAAGTTTGGGTTGCTCCTTGAAACGAGAATACGAAATCTCCATAAATTCAAAAATATTAAATCAATTGAAGAGGCGACCCGCGAGATAACGAGTAATTTGATTGGTTGTTTTGAGGAAGTATGTCCGCTAAAAAGAAGAAGGCAGGGAAAAGCGGTCCCATGGTGGTACGCTGAACTCACCAAACTTGAAAAAGGTCTAGGATACTTCTGAATACGTCTTTAAAACCCCGAAAAGGGGAGGACTGGTTCGAATATCATATCGTGCAGAAGGAATATAAGAGGCAAATTCGCAAGTCAAAATTAAGCTCTAATAAAGACTTCTGCAGTGACATCGACAACATGAAAGAGTCTGCCAGGCTGTGTAAGGTACTTCAACTTCTCTTAGAAAATCTGATGGAACTTATACCGCGGCGCTGCTAGAGACATACAAGACTCTCCTGGAATATCCGGGTAGCAGGATAATTCCTGACCCAGGCAGGGATATGGTGGAGGATAGCGCGTCGGGAAGAGCCACTAGACTAAACTGGTACATAGCATCACGGTAGGTGAGTGAGGAGTCAGTGAGGTTTTCTTTAACCTCTTTTGACGACTTTAAGTCACCGAGATCAGACGGTGTGTATCCGAAAATGCTGAAGTGTTGGGGAGACAGGCTTGTAGGGGCCCTAATAAGGGTCTTTAGGGCCTGTCTGGTATTTGGAAAGGATGACTAAGTGCTGGCAAAAAGCTTCGGGCCAATTAGCCTGACATCCTTCACGCTGAAAAGTCTGGAGTGCACGGTCGATAAGTACATTAGATCAAGGGTTTTGGTGAATAGCCCCCTTAGTGTTCATCAACATGCATACCAAAGCGGAAAATGCTGTGAATCAGCCTTACATGACCTTGTAACAAAGATCGAGGTGGAGCTGGAAGCAGGTGAGTACGAAATAAGGGTCTTCGCTGGTATTGAGGGGGCATTTGACAATGCTACTTTTGACTCTATGTGCTCTGCGGCCAGAACACATGGTGTGAACGAATACATCACAAGGTGGATTCACGTCATGCTATCTAGGAGATTGCTAACCGTGGGGGATGAAGCTAGCCTTTGTACCCTATACACGCTAGAAGTTGGGAGGGGATGCCCTCAGGGAGGGGTGCTCTCACCTCAATTGTGGTGTTTGGTAGTGGACTCCAAGCTTACGCGGATGATGTCTGTGCACTGTCATCAGGTAAATCTCTCCTGGAGGTTTGTGTTAACACACAGAGACCCCTGAAGAAGATTGATGAATGGTGCACTTTGCAGGGTCTTGCTGTCAATCCCAGCAAGACAACACTAGTCCTGTTTACGCGGAAAAGAAAATTGGAAGGTCTCAACCTTCCAGTGCGTAGAGGCGTAAACTTAAGCCTTTCCGTCGATGTGAAATATCTAGGGGTAACTCTAGATACGAAGCTGACATGGAAAACTCACGTCGAGCTGAAGGTAAATCGAGCGCTGAAAGTTTTCGGACAGTGTCGAAGAACCTTTAGCAAGACCTGGGGTCTGAGACCGGCTGTGGTATTTTGGATATACATAGCTTTAGTCGGGCCAATCGTACCGTATCCTGCTCTTGTATGGTGGCGCAGAACCATGGTCAAAACCACGGCTTCTGCGATAAACAGGCAACAAGGGTGTGTGAGTACAACGTCAGGACCGGCTCTTAATGCTTTGCAGAAATTTTCGCCCCTGGATTTAGCGATCCAAGAGGAGGCAATGGAAACGATGTGTCGACTGCATTCTTTTGGTCTGTGGCACGACGATCGGAACTTTGGGCACAGGGAGTTGTTCACAGGGTTGTCAGAGAAATATCCTTTGTTTTTGGTACCAAAAGACAAACTGATACCTAGAGTCTCCTTTGGTAGAAAGTACGTCGTTAGATTTCCTACAAGGGAACAATGGAGATATCCAGACACTCTCTTGAGAAGCTCGGTGAAAACTTTGTATACTGACGGCTCAAACTGAAACCGGTACTGGAGCTGGATGGCATCTGGACGGAAACTTCAGATGCTTTACCACTTTGGGTGCAATGACAACGGTCTTTCAATCGGAAGTCTTTGCAATACTGAAAGTAGCAGACTGGATAACTTGCGAAAGGTGGCGCGGGCATAAAATAAGGATCTGCAGTACCAGTCCAGCTGCTCTAAAGGCCCTGAAAACCGCTGGAACCTCCTCAAAGTTAGTCCAGGAATGTAAGTTGAGGCTGAACTCCGTTACAAGATGGAATGAGCTTGAACTTGTGTGGTTGCCAGGACACCACGGTGTTCAAGGTAACGAACTGGCTGATGAATTGGCGAACTGCGGTTCTCTGGAGCGCCCAATTGGACCGGAGCGAATTGTAGGGCCAAGCATAGCGGGAACGATCCGGTGCATCAAGGATCTCATAAGCAAAACTCATGAGAGCCGTTGGTGCACTATTGACACCTGCAAAACAACCAAGTGTTTCCTGAAAAGGCATCATCGACGATCCACTGTGTACATCGTGTTTGGAGGACGAGGATAGTACTGAACATTTTCTCTGCCGCTGTCCGGCCTTCGCCAGACTCAGATGGTACATTTTTGGGTCGGATGTACTGAGAATGGACGACGTACATTCTCTTTCGCTCAACAAATTGCTAAAATTCATAAAGGAGTCTGGTAAGTTTGCAGAGAAGTAATGAATTCCCACCCCTCCTACATATCCCTTTCCTCTAAATCCTGTTTCTTGGCCTTAAGTACAATGCGCAATACTGCTTGAGTGCTTGGAAAAATTTGGTTTTGGTTTTTCTGTCCACCCACAACTCCATTCCATTCCATTCCACTAGTATCGATACTTTTCTAAAAACTATCACGGACATAACACTTTCGTTAGGTTATTTAAAGCGGCAAATGATCATCAAACCATAATCTTAGCAGATGAATGTGCCAATAAAAATCGTAAACGTGGATTGTTGGTGAATGTTGGACCAAAAAGTTTCAATAAACAAAAATTAATTTTGGGCAGGACGAAGTTCTGCTAGTTTTGTGTAAAGTTAGAAACTTTGATTTATATAAGGGGTATTCTCGAAATCTTGCAAAGCCGTTGCACATTGCACGGATTGCATAACACACAACAACAAAAAACATGTGAAACAACATTTCCTATCGTTGCAAAGTATGCACTAAACCCATGCACATGTTTTTCAAATAAGCATACCAAGATAAATGCGACCCTATGCTAGCTGTTTTGTTATTGGAATTGCTACATATTTCTCTCATCCCTCTAATTTCGCTCACTTAATTTTTTTTCTGTATCTTGCTATTGTATTTGATACAGAATTTCGCTGCTTGCTACCTATGCATGCTACCATTTTGCAATGGGGGTTCCGTACTCTTGCAAACTTGGAATAGTATTTTTGCATTTCGTACAATCCGTGCAAACTGCAAGCTTTTCTTTGGAAACCATTCCACCTTTTGCCTAATTTCACTCCGCTCGGAATTTATAAAACGGCAACGCTTGTCATATGATTTATTGCCAATTGTGTTCGTCCATTTTTATGTTTTAGAGGGAGATAGTTTCCCAGTTTACTTGAGATTTTCCAGTGCACATATCGCCGAGGTTTTTGCAAAACCGTCCATCGCCCAATTGTAAGACCGCCTATCTTACGGCATACAAATTTTACAGGAGAGCAAAAAAAAGGTTTATTCTTTGAAGGCATTGCTTTGATATACGGTATTTTCTCTAGCTATTATTTAACAAATCTGTTGTTTTAATAACGATTTAAAGATTTTTTTTGCATGAATCTCGTGCCTGGAGTTCAGGGTTAGCAAATCTAATTTTTGCCACAACGGCAATTTAGGCGGTTTTGCAAATGGTCGATGGGCGGTTTTGCAAAAACATCGACGATTTTCTAGAGTCCTAAATTAATAATACCTGTTGTTTTTTTATCATTCCGGCTTCACATGGTAAAGAGCAAGCGGAAATTGGCAATTCGCTTTCCTTATTCCAAACAACATCCGTTATATTTATTTCCAATTGGTTGAACCATTTTCCAACGACCTAATAAATAAATAAAAGAAATATATATATTTGTGCTAGACATTCACAAATATTTATGTACATAAATTTATTAGATCAGCATATATTTTATACCCAAAGAGATACGAAAAGGGAATAGTAGCTTTTTAAATCGATCTGTATACCGAGAAAAAGTGTACTTACTATTACCAAGATTTGGTTATAGTAACCAAATATCATAGTTGGATATGGCGAAATAAATATTAAGTTGGCAGGGGTCTGTAACTTACTTTCAGTTTAGACAAATGTATACATAATAACAACAATAATCACAATATAAAATTTGCTAAAAGGTCAGTTAGTGTAGACTTAATTTCCGTAACTTAGTTTAACTTAATATTTTGGCCAACCTGTTAAAAGTGAAAATGTGTTCTCGGTTAGTTAAAACATAACTTACCGTAAGCAATTTAAGAACCTGTAGATTTTAGATTCTTAAGTTACGGCCTTGCGGAAATTGACAGCGGTGGGAGAATCAGGCTTGCCAGATTTTCGTTTTTTATTTCTCAAAAAAAAAAAAAAAATAAAAATAAAATGAAAATAAACGCAAACATATTTTTTGCATGAATTTTTTTATGTGTCAGTTTAGGCGGCAAACTGTGAAACAGCTGAAAGGGAAAATACCAAAATAAAATATTTCCATTCCTGGCTTAAAGCGGGAATCACACGATTTGTACATTTGGCAGTCACAGAGTGCTGTTGTCTAGAAATTTGTATCGAGATCATTGTTAAGGGAAAATAAATAAATAGTGCTTTGATTGATATCAGTTTCCAATTACTTTTATGTACTTTTTGGAGACTAGAAACAGGTAATAGCAATTATTGTCAAAAAGTTTGCTTTTGGCACAAACAAAAATTTTGTCTGGTAGTTGTCTGTTTATTAAAGTTTTTACTTTCTTATTGAAATTGAAAGTAACCGGCCGTTGTGGTGTAGTGGTCAGCAGTGCGCTGTACCATTCCGCAGGGCCTGCGTTCAAGCCTGGTTCAAACCAACATTAAAACATAAAAAACAAAAACGTTTTTTTTTCTAATAAATAGTACTGGATCACAAATTTTAATTTGGTTTTTGTTCTCCAGACGCCACTATCCAATTTGAATGTCGAATCCAAAAATCGAGTTAATTTTTTATTCTATGGATACGTTTTCGAGATATTTTCAATTTATAGTTATTCAGCTTAAAACAAAAGGTGGTTACATATAGTCACTTATATCTCAAGAACCAATTTGAAAATGGAATGCGACAAATGAAAGCTAACAAAATTTTCCATAAACCGTCTATATCTCACTTCTCGATAGAACTGATAGTTTCTGCAAAATTAATAAATCATTCCAATTTTTTTATGAAAAAAAATTAAAAAACCAAATTTTAACAGGAGAAAATTATAAAACTAACAGGTTGTGTGTCAAATTCTTGCAGTTGTGCTAAAGCCTGTTCTTTTACAAACAAATCAAGGTACTAATGAAGCAAATCGATGGATAAATAAAGAAGTAATGAATGGTCAAATGAAAATGCACAAAGATTTTTCGTATGAGAAATGAGCAGGAAATAATATTACATACACGCCATGTACATCTAAGTAGCATGCTTTTACGCTCATATTTCAAAAAAAAATGTTAGCGCATTTTCATTTTACCACTCATTACTCCTCTATTTGTCCATCGATTTTTTTCATTAGTAACTTGATTTTTTTGTAGCAGAACAGGCGAGAATTTGACACCGAACCTGCCAGTTTTTTAATTTTTCTCCTGTTAAAATTTGATTTTTTTTCATACAAAAAAAATCTGGAATGATTAATTAATTTGTCAGAAACTATCAGACCTATAGAAAAGTGATGTATATGAGGTCTATGTAGAATTTTGTTATCTTTCATTTGCGTATTTATTTCAAATTAAGATCGTTAAATTCCTTCGTAAGATATACGTGATTAAGAGTAACAATAAATGTGTGTCTCCTATAAATCGTGACGGATTATTATAAAATACAATAATATTATTTAGAATGGACATATTTTTAACTATGTTTCCTTCGGTACCGGAAGTATAGCGTGAAGTATGTACATATGATCACAAGAAATAGATAAGTTGCGCTATCAGTTTAATTATAAAAATTTTACAATATCGGTGAAAAACTAAAACTTTTTGGATATATTTCAAGCTAGACAAATTTTCTTGTAGCCACCTTGTCGAAATTTTAAAGATATGTCACAATATCAATTTTTCAAAAGAATGCCGTCGCTACATGAACGTTAATCATAAATGAACGTGCAAGTATAAGTACATGTTTACGTTTTTGAAATTCACACATAAAACTGTAAAGTAAGCTTATCGTGTTAGTATTTTGCGTTGAAACCCTGGTTATAAACCTGGTTATAAACAAATTAATATTTTTATTATCCCTAGGTAACGTACGTAAGGTGTACGTATATTAGGGTTGCTAGATTTTTTATGCGCGAAATCAGTAGATAAGTTAAGACTTTTCCATGCTAAAAAAATCAGTACTTTTCAGTACACTTTTATTTTAAGCAAAATTATGAATCTAAGTAACAGATAATACTTTAAAACGCCATAGTACTTGTTTTTAATAATATTTTGATATATAAATAAAATATAGTTCATAAAAAAAAAAATGTTATTCATTTTAACATGAGTACACATCACTGTACACAGGAGCCAATAAACTATTTTTTGTATATTTATGACATTTTTAAATATTAATAATGAGATCATTTCCATTTTCAGTATTTAAATGGTCAACGAATTTTATACATTTCATTTTAAAATTACTTTTAATTTGAAGTTCAGTTTAAACGATTTTATTAGAAACCGGTTTCTCTCTTTGCGCCAGGAAGCAAATTTCATGCTTAAGATCCTCTCAGTTGCTTCGTTTGAGTGTGGCTAAAAAAAAACAAAATTAAATATTTTTCCAACTGTGGAAAAGTACCACTATTTAAGGACTTCATCTATATTTCCTCATGGAAAGACTAAGAATTCGCTAAAAAGAGTATCTAACTCTATGTCTTGTAAGCAAAACTCTTTTACAATGTCAGTAAACTGAGAAAAAATAATTGTAAAGCTGAACTTACATGAGGCGATTTTTAAAAGTCAGGACATTAGCGTACAGATCGAAGAAATGATTAAAATCAGTACTAGAGTTGAAAAACCAGTACTGTGCTGATAAAATCAGTACGTCTGGCAACCGTAACGTATTTATATGCTTTACATAAACAGCTGTTATGTCGCCTACATACCGCATTGAGATGTTAATTTTTTAGATTTTTGCGATCCCGGCATTTTCAGGATGTCGTTGGTTCAGTCCCGGGATCAGTCCCGGGATTTAGATATTTATTATTTTTCAATGACTTAACATGTAATAATAAGTAAATGGGTTTGGAACGTACTTTTTTATTTAAAGTGAAAATTATTTCATAAGTAACAAAACGTTAGACAGTAATAAAGTTTATATGCATTTAATAATACTTTGGTGTGTACATATCTGATAAAGTAATTTAGGGTATGTCGAAAAAAGCTCGATGCAAAAAAATAAGTCAAAAAATTTATTTTCTGGTTGAAAGAAGTTTATAATTCGAGTGGCAGAAATAAAAGAAGCGCGTTAGTTCGACCAGTTTTGTCTATATTCCTTTTGTTTATCCAAAATTTATATTTTTTTTCCATAAAAGTCTACTTCATATTACACATAATTAACTGCATATGTATAAATGGGCATTTCTCTGACGTCATGATTTTTTTAAAAGACTATCAAGCCCTAACCGCCAAAATAACGAAAGCGACATTTTTTCAAAATTTTCGTTTTGATGCAGAAATGCATCTAGTTGCTCTAGGAATATTTCTGCATCAAAAAGAAAATTTAAAAAAAAAATATTCACGTTAGTTTGCCGGTTAGGGCTCGATATGGCTAATTCAAAAATTTATTTAAAAAAGACCAGTGCAATGTAAAACAAAAGTATGGGTACTAAATGAAATAATTAATATTTTGGGTTCACAAGGACGAATAGGAATTGAAAATGCCCCTTTAATCTATTTTATTTTTTTAAGCTAATAAAGTTAGTCCTGAATGAAATGAAATAATTTTTTGGGTTCACAAGGACGAATAGGAATTGAAAATGCCCCTTTAATCTATTTTATTTTTTAAGCTAATAAAGTTAGTCCTGAACATATAATTTTTTCAAAAATAAGAATTGACAAATTTCAAAGATATTCAAAGATACAATTATAAAAGAGTATTTTCAACACCTACCCGTCCCTTACGAACCAAAAAATTTAATGTGTTTTAACTCTATAGAATCTTCTCTTTCAATTGATACCCATATTGGTTTTTTAAGTATATTGGACTGAAATTTTTAAATCATTTTTTTGAATTACTCATGTCTTTCAAATTTCAAAGTCTTTTTAAAAATCCTGACGTCGGAGAGAAAAATTAAGAACGCTCTGGCTCTTGGTTTGGCGAATATATTAATTTTTTTTGTGTGCAAAATTGCCTGCCGCAAGGTATTATATGTATATTGATCTACACATTTATAAAAAAAATTTAAATATTAAATAAACAAAAGAAATACTGCCAAAACTGGTCAACATAAAGCGTTTCTATTATTGCCACCAGTGTAAATTACAAATCCCGAAAATTTTTGGGACTTAAAAAAGACCGGAATCCCGGGATCCCGGGATTAACATTCCTAGTGCCGCACAAAAATTGTTCGCCTTGGCAGTGCTGCCCTTGCTTCGAAAAACGCCAAACAAGGCGTGCAAAAGGTCGAACAAGTATAGACGGATATAATTGCGATCTTTATGTTGTTTAAGAATGCTTGTAACCGATTTAGACTTTTGAACAAAACTGTGGAATAAATGGGTTTAAAACCAAAAAACTTTACACGTATATTTTACGTACGTTACCAATAACGAACTATTTATTAGCGTTGCCATTTAAGGGTTAAGAACAAAAAGTAATATTAATCGCATGTTAATTAAGTATATGGGTCATTCCATACATTATTACAC